ACTTGGCAGCAAAAGAGAATTGATTCCAAGCCAAGGAAATGACAGCACAGTATAGCTGGTGCTGACTTGAAGGAAGGAAAAAAAAAGAAGAATGGATAATAATAGATGCATATGGGCAGTGAAGAAAAGTGCAATCAGCTCAGATTAATTACAAGTTCAGTACATGTGCAAGGGACAAATTTCGAAGGAGATCGAGATAGAAAGGGATAGGCATTTAAGTTGGCTGTAGGGAATGGACAAATTTACACCAAAAAAAAGAAAGAAAAAGAAAAGCCTCTAAATTCACATCAGCAAGGACAAAAGACCTGTCATAACAGACATATCATGAATAGTTTTGTAAGCAGGAAGAAGTAATCAAAGTAATCACAGGCCCTGGCACATGGAGAAACATTTAATCTGCCCAAGGGAATTACTTTTAGTTCTTGTTATATGTGATGTTCATTTTTCATAGGTCATTTTGGAAAAGGTATCATAGTGAACAGGATACTGATGACTTATTGAGAAAACAAATGCTAAAAAAAGTTAACAATAATATAAGCTACAAACTTTAATTTCTAATACAGCCATAATCTCATATTCCAAGGTCATATAGTCACCAAATTCACCCTTCTAGATCATAGTCCATACTTATTAGTAAGAAGAAAAGGAAATCAACCAATCTATTTAGTCAAAATCAATAGCACAAAATACAGGAACTTTGATTACATGAAAGATCTTCATCCAGAGCACAACTATTATTTTAGATGTGATTTTATTAATATTATGTTTTCTAAGGTAGATATGTAGCAGCAAGTTCTACAGGCGGAAGAACTGCTAAATATAGTTTAAGAGCAGAAAAATGTGTATAAAACCATATAAGTCGAGAAATATTCACAAAAATTATGAATATAGACAAAAAATCTTAGCAGAGGCCAATTAATGTAGAATAGAAACATACACTTCCACACCTCAATCGATCATGATGCCATCACATGCTATTATTACACAAGATGATTTATGTTGAGGGTGATGACTCAAAGTCATCGAGTGAATAAAAAATCATCTTCTGTGTACTCCATAGCAAAGCCAGGAAAGTGAAAAGTACATTATAGAAAAGGCTCCATGCAAGATTATTAAACTGAAAAATTATTGCCTTGAGTATAGAATTATCTGGAAAATTCCTTTATGTGAAGCACCTCATTGGTAATGATGTATTTTCTACACAGGCCATAGTAAATTCACCAGAGGAAAAAAGAAATATATATTAGTCATATCTCTTTTGCATAGAAATGAGAAGAAACCCAAGTAAAATGATTAAATAATTTTTGACCCATGTACCTGAAAAGTATAGTGGTAGGTTTCTGTTCAAATATGGCTGGACAGAGGTAGATAGAATTACCAGGAGTCTATTTTTGTTAATCTCTTGACTCAATTTCTTTAACTTTTTATTTTAAAATACATTTAGAAGTTACAGGGATGTTGGGAATTATTAGTCCGTTCTCACATTGCTAATAAAAACATACCTGAGACTGGGTGGTTTATAAAGAAAAAGAGGTTTAATGGACTTACAGGTCCAGATGTCTAAGGAGGCCTCACAATCAAGTTAGAAGACAAAGGAGGAGCAAGGTCACGTCTTACACGGTGGCAGAGAAAAGAGTGCGTGCAAGGGAACTCCCATTTATAAAACCATCAGATCTCATGAGATTTATTCATTACCAGGAGAACAGTATGGGGGAATCTGCCCCCATGATTCAATTATCTCCAACTGGCCCCACCCTTGACATGTGGGGATTATTACAATTCAAGGTGAGATTTGGGTGGGGACACAGCCAAACCATATCAGGAATATATTACAAAGAGTTCATATATATTCTTTCCTCAGTTTTCTCTACTGTTAAAAATTTAGATAGCCATAATTTTAAAACCAGGAAATTAACATTGTTACTATACTACTATTAAACTACAGATCTTATTTGAATTTCATCAGGTAGTTTTTTTCCCAAAAGTATTTTTTTTCTTTTCTAAGATTCAATCAAAGCTGCCACATTGCATTTAATGTTGTGTCTTTTTAGTTTCTTTCTATTTGTGACAATTCTACGGTCTTTTCTCACCTTTCTCACCTTTCATTATCTTGGTACTTTTTATAAGTACTGGTCCATTATTCTGTAGATGTGCCTCAATTTGACTTTGTCTGATGTTTCTTTATGATTAGATTGAGGTTTTTTCCTTTTGGCACAAATTACAGAAGTAATTATTTTTCCCCTCTAAGTACGTATTATTGGGGGAACACAGTGCCAATATATATTATTTCTGTGAATATTAACCTTGATTACTTGGTTAAGGTTTCTCTACCAGGTTTTTCCATTGTAAAATTAACATCTTCCCCTTTGTAGTTAATAAATAACTACAGGGAGACACTTTGAGACTATGTTAATATCATTTTTCTCCTCAAACTTTCACTCAATGATTTTAACATCTATTGGTGAATATTGACAGTGTAAACCAAAAAGCATCTGAAACAGGAATCAATCAATTTAGAAGTTTATTTTGCCAAGGTTAAAGACATCCCTGGAAGAAAAGAACACAAAATCACAGAAACAGTCTGTGGTCTGTGACTCAATCAATTTAGAAGTTTATTTTGCCAAGGTTAAAGACATGCCTGGAAGAAAAGAACACAAAATCACAGAAACAGTCTGTGGTCCGTGACTTCCTCCAAAGATGAATTTGAGAACTTCAATATTTAAAGGGGAAAAGTGGGCTGGAGGGGAAGGAGGGAGTGTATGGTAATCCATAAGTGCAATAGAAAGGGAGCAGGCAGGGGAATAGTCAATTATATATTCCTCTCTTCCTCAGTAAATTGGCACTTTACATAAGATAGGGCAAACATAGAGTAGTTACCTGTGGAGAGATTTAACCTTTAACCTGGAGCTATCTGCTTAGCAACAAAAGGAAAAGCAGTTTCTTGTGCGACTCAGTTTTTAGCTTAATTTCTTCCTTTAGGCATAGTGAATTATTTCCCATGTTTTTATTTTCCTTTCAAAACTACAACAATTATTCTGTGACGTTTGCCTTGGCAACGTTTTTTCTGCCCTAGATTCATTTTCAGAAAGACATTGCTGAAGAAATAGTGACAGAAAGTAGCTCTAGACTTTAGTTTAACAAGCTTAGCAATCCCAATAAAAAGATCGCACATTTTCCCCCAGTTACAATAGTGCTACCAATGGTTTCCTTTGTGGTGGCATGTACCATACAGTGCTAACTTGATGGCTATAGCCAAAGGGAAGGCCACTGTCATAGACAAGGCCTGGCTTATGTTCCTCTTTCTTGAGTTGGGGGCTGGGGTTGTCGCACTGAAACCACACAAAATGAGAATGGAGAGAAGACTTCTTAGGTTAAAAAGAAAACACCAAAAATAGTGATACAAAATTGGACGCAGGTCAAGTCAACAAATATCCACTGCACTATGATATAAATTATTATTCCTGATGTGGCCTAAGATCTAAGTTTGTAAAAAACAATTATTGAAACCCATTAGTATCCAAAAATGTAAGCATTTAACTTTACCTTATTATCATAATGTGGAAGAATGCAAGTTCTTGGCCACCTATTTTAGTGTTTCCCAACCTTTACAGTAGCTATAATTTAAGATTTCCTTCTTCTCTGTCTGTCATAGAAACAGAAAAAATAGCCATAATTGTTCTTACCATTAAAATAGATCATTACTAAAATGCAAGGCACATAGATAACTGGTCAAAAATGGCATTGTTATTATTGTTATAACTGTTATTAACATATTAAACTTGATATATATTTATGAAGAGCCTGTTTTATATAAGATAATAATAGATTATAGAAAACTGAAATAAGAAAGGATACCTGATTATAAATAGTACAATCAATAGTGTGAGAGAAAAAATATGTAGAAAACTCTAATACCAGGTAGAATGTAACAAGTTTCTATAATAGATGCATAAGTACAATGGTTAAATACATGTTTATATGTTTTAAATATTAAGTATCTCCTTAATCTTTTCTTCTTTAGGCAAAACAAAACAAACAAAACTCAAAGGACCACCTTTTCAACTAGCTTTCCTCAAAAGATTAGGTCCCAGACACATTTAACTTAGGATATAAATTGGATGTCACATTAACCAGCAACAGAATAAGCAGAGCAAAGGACACTTGGCTTCATTATTTTCAATATTTTAAATAAAAAGACTTAAAAATTATAACAAACATTTCCATTAGAGTGTTATTTTGCAGATTTAATACTATAGTCCCTTTATGAAAGGCAGAAGACCTTGCCTGCATTTTTTCTATACACACAAAAAATCAGATTATTTGATTTCTTTTACACAAAAGGCTTTGTAGTTTAGAAATAGCTTTTGAATTAAATGACCAGATTGTTGCTAAGCAACAGTGTAAAACAATTCTTAGATATGGAGACATGTCTAAAGTACAAGCATGTAAGGCCTATGGTAAGTCTGGCATTTTGTGGACTCGGCTCATATTTTTGCAAAAATAAATATTTCTATATTATCTTTCAAAAATGGTTATGTGTGTGTGAGTTGGTGTGTGTGAGCTGGTGTATTCAGAGAAAGTAGATGGATTGAGGATGAAATGGAAAGCAAAATCTCAACCACCATTGGGTTAATTTTAATTTTTCAGTTCCATTTTGGCCCTGTTCACCTGCCAAGATATAAAATGTTTTTAATTACTTTTGGTTTCTTTGTTGTAACTCGTGAAGCATTTCTAAGACAACTATTCAGATATTCTGGATTAATGGCCCTGTTCTGGAAATAAGGTCTTTCACAGATAATATTTCTGGAAATATATGATAAGAAGCTATCCTCTGACTTGATAACATGTATTTCAATGTATAAATTATTGTGTAGTAAATGTAATTTTATTATGAAGGTACAGCAGTAAAAATTCAGTAATTTATTGTATAAAAAATGTTGGGTTTTGCTAATACTGCAAAAACCAGTAACACAATTGTCACTTCTTTCTTTCTTTTTCAGTGCTTTTGGAGGTTATATTTGTCACTTCTTAAACTAAAGGAAAAGACCCACTTTTCATATAAAGTTGTAAGTAGTAAATATGTTCCTTTGAAACGAGAGAAAGATGCCCTTGCCTGTGAAAACGCTGCCCTACTTTTGCAGAGGTAGCTGTATCACATAGTGAATGTGGCAACTGATATGGCCATCACTGTGAAGAGCTGGGTACACACACCAGCCTCAGGACACCCCCTGCAGTCCTAACTTGGGAATGTAAAACTCAGCTATTTCAAGTAAACCATTTCTGCTTCATTCACATAAGAACATTTCCTTCACAAAAGTCGTATGGACAAGACAAAATAAAAACTTACCTAAGGAAAAAAAAAAAAATGTCTTTGGTTAATTACTGTGCTAAGCTACTTTCTGCAGAGGTTAAGTACTGCAGACATTAGGATCAGGAAAAACCAAGAAACAAACAACTGCGAGTAAATTTTTCTCTAGGAGACAAGGAAAGGGATTTGTTCAGCTCCTGAGAGATAAATGTATGAAGACAAAGACAGAACAGCAAGAAAGTCAGAAGAACCAGAGCGATGGTGTGTAACAGGAGGCTTTTAAGAAGCATCCAATAGCAACTGTCTCCTTTCTAGTTATTTCTGTTACTTCAACCTTACCTCCCCCAAATCCAGCACCTCATTATGATATCCTTCCCAATCAATCTTCTATGGAACTACTTTAGTTATGAGTGTTTTCTTGTAGGATATTTCCCTGTAAGCCTTGCAAATGGGGTAAGTTGGGCAGGGTGAAACACGGCATGTGCAGAAACCTGAGCTCAAGGGTAGAGAAATGGTAACCACAGAAGCCCCAATAAATTCATGTAACACTTGGAAAAAGGGCTTATGTTTCCACAGATCATGGAATTGGAGGTTGGAACCTATCTCAAGTGACTTCAAAGGAGCATGAGACTCTACCCAGAGAATATCTAGCATATTGATATAAAGGTTGAATATGCCTTATCTGAAATGCTTGGGACCAGAAGTGTTTCAGATTTCAGATTTTTTTTTTTTTTGTCGAATTTTAAATATTTATACATACATAATGAGACAGCTTGGAGATGGTAGCCAAATCAAAACACAACATTTATTTATGTTTCATATATACCTCATACACATAGCCTGAAGTAATTTTATGTGATATTTTAAATAAGTTTATGCATGAAGCGAAATTTTGACCATGACTATAACATGAGGTCTTCATGGAATTTTTCACTTATGGCATCACGTCAGCACAAAAAGTTTTGGATTTCGGAGCATTTCAGGTTTTGAATTTTCAGATTAGGAATGTTCAACCTGTAATATAAATAAGTTTGATGTGTTCTGGGTTATTTTATCCACAGTATTTTTTGAACCGCCATTTTAGATACATATGCAGAACAAATATAAGTTGTCACATATTATGGAGATATAAAACACAGGCAATAATATATTTGCTGCAGGAAAGACTTGTGCTTCCTACATCTTTGAGATGCGGATCGCTGCCTGTTCAAATAAAACCAATCAGAACTTTAATTACATGATTATGCAATTCTTGAATTACATTAAGGTCACATTCAGATTGTGTTTTATACCTGTAATTGGAGTACTAGTTAATAGGGTACTTTATAGAAAATATAAACCAATTGAAGTGGTGTTTAGTGAATTATAATAAAATAATAAGCTTAGACCCATGGCAAAAAGTAATAATCAAGAAAGAAAAGAATATATTTATATTTTGCAAAAAGCCAAAGCAGCCCACTTTTGAACAGCACAGCTTGCCTTCTTCGTGCCTTCCCTAACACTGGGTATTATTTTGCTTTTGCTGTTTCCAGACCCAAATATTTCCTTACTCAGAAAGCAAAATGACATCACAAAGATTATTGTATTCATAACCCTTTTGTGATTCATAAACTGGAAACATATTCAAAATTGAAGCTAAATTATTAGGAGGAATAAGGCGACTAAAATGTTTCCTTGCGTTACGAAGGGAGTAGTTACACCTTCATAAATTACACATCATTAACTATGTAGTCTAGCGACCAAATCCCATGAGAGAAGATATGACAATTTTTTATATTTTAACAAATATGACAAATTAAGAGGTAGACATTTTCTATCTAACTCAGAAGCAAACTTATCACCACAACTCCAGTTGTATTCTTTGAAAGGAGTTTAGTGTAAACTGTATTTATAAAGTAAAATCTTCTGCTTGGCTCCAATCAACTCTTTCCACCTTACTGGGATTTTGGAAGCATTTTCAAATGTAATGTGTTCCTAGGCAACTGCAACAAAAGAATTATATGTATTTAATTTTATAAAATGCTATAAAGTTACTCCTGTGATACTGTCCTTGACTTTGATGATATAAAAATAATGCATGTTCTTACTTAGACATATTTATTATATATAGCTAAAAGTCTTGAGAATAAACTTTACTATGACTATATTAAATTTAACTTCCAAAGGAATGAAGAGACATTTCCTCATGAGGATTTGTAATTTAATATAGAAAAGTAATTTAGCATAAACTCCAGAATATATGTAGTGTAAATAAAGAACTAGATGAGGTGGAAAGAAATATAAGGATTATACCAAACAGTGTGCACACAGACACACACCCACATGCACACACACACATATATATAAAGACACACACCCACACACTGTAGACCACTTTTCAACAAAATAATTTTGTTCACTGCAAAAATAGTAGATACCTTAAACACCTTAAAAGATTAAAATATCTTTGGTAAATAATGAAGAAAATAATTTCATCACTGGAAATTATTATTTTATAGAACACATTATAGAAATGGTCTATAAGAAGCTTGTCCAACCCCTAGGCTGTGAGTTGCATGTGGCCCAGAACAAATTTGAATGTGACCCAACACAAATTCATAAACTTTCTTAAAACATTATGAGGGTGTTTTTTTTTTTTTTGCCATTTTCTAAAAGTCATCAGCTGCTGTTAATGTTAGTGTATTTTAGTGTGGTCCAAGATAATTCCTCCAGTGTGGCCCAGGGAAGCCAAAAGACTGGACACTTGTAGTCTGTAACATACAATTTAAGAACTTATTAATACATGTAAAACAATTTTTAAAACATATCCAGGTCCCATTTCTATAGCTCATAAATTTGATTTGGACTGGGTTTCCTTCATTTGCATTTAATGTTTTTACTTCCAGCTGGCTATGCACTGTATGACAATGCTCATTTTTGCTTACCTTATTAGAAACATTTATCTTCACAGTGTGTATCAACTGAATAAAATGACAGATACTCTGCCCAGTGTTTCCTCTCATTATGCTCTAGTTGACCATACAAATGGTAATAGAGGTAAAACAGATACACAGGCCTCCAAAGCTGCATCAAAAGATGTAAAATCTCTTTGATCTTAACATCTTAAGTGAAGGTCTGATAAGGAACACATTACTCTATAATTTCCTTAAGAGTAGGATGAGCATGAATGAGCACCTGTCTTTTTGATTGTTTTATCCTGACCACCTAGTTGGGTAAAACACAGCAGATGCACAATAAAAATATGCCACATTGCTTATAAATGTATGCAGTGGTTCAGAGATGTCAACTCCAAATAAGTGGGAAATGATTTTTTTATAGATTTATTTTGAGATTTTAAAAATGTCAAATTCACTTTTATTCATGCTAAAGATTTAATGAATGGACTATAAAAAGATGTTTAAGGCAATTCTACTTTCTATTTTTAGCAATTTCAATAACATGCCTTTTGAAACTGAAGGCAAAATATACTTTCTTGCAGAAATACATGTTATTTGAATTTTTCACAGATTGTTGAAAGCTCTAAGGGCTGACGTATAGTATTAGTTATCTCTTCCCTAGCACTTGTAACTGAAATATTCAGGTGCTCTATAAGAGTAGGGTTTTTTAGGGGGTATTTATATCATTCTGGAATTACTTAGTGGTGATGATTGCAAAATATTGTGAATACACCAAAAAGCACTGATTTTACACTTTAATATTGTTAATGTGTTGAACTTTGTTATATTAATTTTATCTCAATTTAAGAAAATTAAAAACAAAAAAGTGATTTGAATGGAGAAGGCATTTTATTAAAATTTTGTAGTTAATTCTTATATTTATAACAATTCCAACTTAAAAAAATTGTCTGCCAATTGATTAATAAAATAATAAGGTGTGACAGTCACTCACTCAGAGCCTCCTCTGGAGAGAGCATAATTGATACACACATTCAGCTACTACATCTTTGAATTTCTATCCAGTCAGCCACTATATTCGTCTGCTAGGGCTGCATAACAAAATACTACAGACTGGGTGGTTTAAACAACACAAATTTATTTTCTCACAGTTCTGGAGCCTGAAAGTCCAAGATTAAGGTGCCAACAGGGTTGGTTTCTGGTGTGGCCTCCCTCATTCACTTGCACACTGCATCTTCTCACTGTGTTCTCACATGGCTTTTCTTTTGTGGGATGTACAGAGACATAAACAGAACTCTGATGTCTTTTCCTCCGCATATGAGGACAACAGTCCTCTCATATTAGGGCCTTACCTTCAGATTTTATTAAAATTTAATTATATTCTGAAAATCTCTATCTCTAAATACAGTCACATTGAGAGTTAGGGTTTCTAAATATGAATTTTGGAAAGGCACAATTCAGTCTATAACAGCTCCAGACATCCTAGTATGGCACTATTCCTCAAGGGACCAACTGACCACATGGTGGAAATAAACAGCACTGGGCTCTTTCCATCCTGAGAGGGGCAGTGGTTCATTCTCAAAGGGTTAGACACCTACTTAGGATGTGCATTTGCCTTTCCTGCTTGTTGTGACTCAGTTGCCACCACCAGCCTGAGGCTTAGAGAATGCCTGATCCACAGGCATTCAAACCCTGTAACATGGCATCTGTATTAGTCCATTTTCACACTATTGATAAAAACATACCTGAGACTTGGCAAAAAAAAAGAAAAATAATAATAAAATAAAGGTTTAATTGACTTACAGTTCCCATGTCTGGGGAGGCCTCACAATCATGGTGGAAGGCAATTCTCCCTAAGAGCCCCACCCCTGCAGCAAAATTCTGCCTGGAAATCCAGGCATTTCCATACATCCTCTGAAATCTAGGTGGACATTCCCAAACCTCAATTCTTGACTTCCATGTACTTTCAGTCTCAACACCACATGGAAGCTGCCAAGGCTTTGGGTTTTCACCCTCTGAAGCAACAACCCAAACTGTACCTTGGCCCCTTTTAGTCATGGCTAGAGCAACTGGGACACACAGCACCAAATCCCTAGACTGTACACAGGAGAGCGGCCCTTGGCCCAGCCCATGAAACCATTCTTTCCTCCTAAACCTCCAGGCCTATGATGAAAGGTGCTACCACAAAGGTCTCTAACATGCCCTGGACACCTAACATTCGGCTCCTTGTTACTTATGCAAATTTCTGCAGCTGGCTAGAATTTCTCCTAAAAAAAAAAAGTGGGATTCTTCTTTTCTATCATATTGTCAGGATGCAAATTTTCCAAACTTTTATGCCCTGTTTCCCTTTTAAAACTGAATGCCCTTAACAGCACTCAAGTCACCTCTTGAATGCTTTGCTGCTTAGAAATTTCTTCTGCCAGATACCCTAAATCATGTCTTTCAAGTTCAAAGTTCCACAGATTTCTAGGGCAGGGAAAAAATGCTGCCAGTCTCTTTGCCAA